TAAAAAAAAACTTTTTTAATAGTAAGGGACATTTGAATTATGTCCTCGCCTTTAATTTAGGGACCCATCTTTAGTTATATTCATATCTTCCATGACTATTGCCCCTACAAATTGTCTCTTTCTCCATTCTCTTAGGATTTTTTTCATTTCTGTTAACATCTCTTTTCTTTCCTGCTCTACTTGCGGTGATACATATACTTGTATTACTCCTATATGTCTTCTTTCTTTGAATATTAATTCTATGGCCAGAATTCTTTCTTGCCATCTTGTTATCTTTCCAATATGTTTCGCCCAGTCCCTTTTCACAATTAGGCCCACTCCCCCTGAATGTTTTTCCATGTATGCCCAAAATGTCTTGTATTTGCTGTCTCCCATTGTCTTTCTACTTGTTGTTACCTTGAACTTGATGTCTGATATTCCTATTATAGATATGTCATCCTCGTAATAGTAATGTTGCAATTGCTGTTTTTTAAACTCCTCATTTAGTCCATTTATATTTATTGTCGCAATTTTGAAGCTTTCCATGTTCATTCTTTTTTCTTTGTATATATTAGTGTTATTTTTGTTATTTTTGCTATTTTCTTGTTGTAACGTCATATTTTTGTGGTTGTTTTGGTATAGTTTTTTCTCTATTGCCCTTGTGGCTGCTGTTTCCTTTTTACGACTGCTGCTTGACCATTCTCCAACAGTTCTGATAGTATTTTTCCCATGTGTTCGATTTGTTTTTCTATTTTGCTCTGTCTTTCTGCCACTTCTTCGTTGATCGCTTTGTATGTTGCCAAGGGAATTTCTTCCTTCTCAGTATTCATTTCTTCTGCATCTTGGTATTGAGATCGTTGTTCCCCCAATCCTTCCTTTATATATTCTACTTCTTTTTGCTCCTCCTCTGGTGCCATCCACCAGTCCCATAAAGTGTTGATTTTCTCTTCTATACTTCTAACTTTGTTTTCTAGATTGCTTAATCTCTTCCTGACTCCTTGTTCCCTGCCTTCTTTATTAATCATTAATCTGAATCTGCTTCTCTTTCTCATTACTTCTGCGAAAGATATAGATGTTTCTCTTTCTGGCCCCTTCCTGAATCTCGACTGGATTGATGCGAATTTTGCCTGCACAATGGATTTGTCCCTTTGGATTCTTACCTTCTCACACTGGAAGGCGATATATCCATTCTGTCCGCATTTGTAGCAAAGTCTTTTGTGCTGGTCCACAAAGCTGATTGTTGTTCTGTCCAATTTGAAGGTTTGTTTTCCTGCTGTTTTTAGCTGGTCCTCTGTTTCAAATGCTATATATGCGAATCTCTCCCTAAAGTATCTGCTTGTTCTTGGAATATACAGGGTTTTCCCTTCCATTTCTCTTGCTATTTCCTCTAGGTCATATGCTGTAGTGCCTGCAGGCAATTTTGCTAATTTAAGCACATATTTGGATCTTCTCGCGAGTTCCTCTTTTTCTTCCCATTTTGGAAGTATTCTCAAATACTTTTTCTCAAATGGGATCAACCACATTTTGGCCAATAGTTGTGCATCCTTTTCTTCTTTGAATGTCACTGTTATGGTTTTCCACATTTCTACAGGTTTGATTACCACCGTTTGAATATCCCCAAACTTTCGTAGTGTTGCTTTGACTGCCCCTCACTTGCTGAAAGGGGAATGTCTCTAACTATCACTGTCAATTTCTCTTCCAATTGGTGTTCCCTTTGTTCCACTGGTGTTAGGTGTTCTCTATTTTCATCCATGCCAAAGTTGATCTCACATGCCTCCTGCATGTCAATGAAATTTCCAAAATTGGCAATGATTGACTTCTTTTTTCCCGTCGCTTCTCTTCTTACTCTCACCCTCAAGAAAGAGTTAAAGGCAATATATGCTTTCTCTACCATCTCTAGAGCTTCTGCTGATTCTATGCCTGCCACCAGCTCTATTGAACATGTGTGTCTTGGTTTTCTTTCCACTTCTCTTGGCTGTCCCTCGATTTTCCTTTTCTTCATATGCTCCCTTCTCTCCTGCCCTGATATCTGAGCCATTCGCGTTCTTGCTATTCTCTTCCGTTTCTGTGACTTCCTCTTCGATTTCCATTTCCTGTTCTTCTGTTGTGTTTTGTTCTTTCTCTCTTGCCTCGTTTTCTTTTTCTATTTCTTTGTTTTTTTCTTTTCCTGTGTCCATACTTGTTGCTCGTACTGGTATCTTTTTCCTTTTTTCCTTATCCAAGCTTTTTAGTCTTCCTGGTTTTTTCTTGAAAATAATAGTAGCCACTCCTCTTGCTTCTCTCACTGCATTTATTGTTTTCCTCTCTGTACCTCTTCCTCTTCTCACGCTTGTCATTGCCACTTGTCTAACTCCCATCTTTCTTTTTCACTTTCTCGCTGCTTTTTTCCAGTTTTCTATAAAGGCAATTTTTACTATGTGGGAAAGAGTTTTGCTAAACTTTTTTTTTTTTATTGGCTAAATATTTGAAATTATCTTAAATCTTAATCAATAATATAAAAACTGTTTCAGAACTATCAGTGATATTACTTGTCATTCTAATATTTTGATGTAATTGTTGGATTCTATGTTGAAGTAAAGATATTTCATTATTCATTTCTAGTAATTGAATCTTAAGAAAAATATTATTTTTATTTTTATTCTTATTCTTAGTATATTGTAATACTTTTTTAAGACACTTCTTAAGATTCATATTTTCTGATTTGAGAATTTCAATTTCATTATCCCAATCTGTAATTTGCTTTTCAAGATATAAAATATAATCTTCGACCTGAAACAATTTATATTTCAATTTTTATATTTGTGTTTTAAGTGAGGCCATCGAAATTTATTATAGTTTATAATATAATAAGTAATATTGAAGATGGATAAATTGAACATACCTATTATTAGAATTGATCCAGATAATGAATTAAACTTAATCTGTAAATTGTTTTTTTATCAACCTACTGGTTATCATTCCAATGCTCAAAAGTTATATAATACTATCAGAGATAAAGAATATAATTTTCCATATAAAAAAGTTTGCGAATGGTTACATAACCAAAATAAATGACAAAAGTATGCTTCATTATTAAAAAATATTTCAAAAGTTAGTTATGGTAAAATTTTACATTCAAACTGTATACACCAGTGTGATCCTTTATGTCTTACTAATAACAAAGTACATAAAAATATTTAAATGGGTTCTCAATATTGTAGATATCCCTAGTAGATACAAATATTCTATACTTCTAACTTCAAAAAATAGTTCAGAAGTAGTCAAGGCATTCAAGAAAATTTATGCCAACCCGAATATTCCTTTTACCTGGCCTGACGAAATATTAAGATCTGTCATATTTAGCTATTTATATCGAATTTAAGGTTTAGACTTATAGTATAAGTGTGAATTGAGTTATTAGATGAGTTGTGTATAATTGTCATATTTTGTGAGTAATCATACAATGAGGCCAATCAAAGTTTTGACTTATTTTATGTTTCATGTAGACGTATGAGTTAAATAGTGGTAAGCTTACAAAAATCAGGTCATTTAATCAGTACATATAATTTATATAATACTGCATATAGTTGTGAAATAATAGAATTATAACTTTATTAATGTATGAATTTGGATGTGACATTAATGTCATTGGCACAGTAATTCACTTCGTTGTCTTCATCTTGGCTTAAGACAAAAAACGATCTAATTTTATCAATTTCTGTTCCTATTCCTTCATAGAATAATATACTTTTTTTTTGAATCCAGAAGTTATTCTATGCAAGTTTATATCGATAATATCAGGAAGGAGTGATTGATTTTGTTATATATTATCATTCTTGCCATTTGAACATTAATATTATTCATAGACTTAATATCACTGACTCGATTCATAATAACAATACTAACACAAACTTTTCTTTTGTCGAACCTTTATTGCTACTCTAAATATTATTTTCTGATACACACCCCACACCACATACACGAATACATATAGTTGAAAATTACAAGCTCGAAATGTGATAAAAAGATAAACACTATCAACCCAATTCAAGATTCATATAAGAACATAAACTAATCTTTTTTAACAAGAACTACAATTTCAGATCAATTTCCAGAGCATATTGCTTAAGACAGTTAGTCCAAGGTATTCTTGAGAACAGTTCTCTTTGTAGTGTAAATAACCTGCTCCTATTAAGAGTCATACATTTCCTTTGGTAAAACAAAATAAAATTTGATATCAAAATTATTGTTTTTATTAATATATTTTTCTAATCCGCTCTTTATAACTCTCAGAAATAGTCATCTGGAAGAATGTTTGGGTAAAATGAGCACATCAAAAGATGTGTTATTCTTTTGAGTTGGAATACAATACTTATTACAAACAATCTCACTAATATTACTGAACAGCCGTTTGTTCTGAGTGGGTGTTGACAGTTTTGAATTGTACATTCCAAAGCAGAAAACTGTTGATGCAAATAAAGGGCAAGCATTAAATGATCCTCCTTTTAATAATTTTCTGTGAGCAATCTGTTCGAATATAGTGCCCTGGAGTGTACTGTAATCGCTAATTGATAAACTAGCTTTTATGAAATTCTCCAACTGATCTCTATAATTCTTAATGAGTTTGTTCATTACCTCTTTAGAAACATAATCGAATGCAAACTCTAAAGTTGACATTGAATAGAAAGGATCACTATTTCCTATAACACTTTTTCTTTTATCTGGTCTAGTTACTGATCTAGTTACTGCGAAAGATTGTGACGTAGAAGGCTCTCCAGGATTATTTTCTACTTCCGTTATTTCCATATCCCCTACACTTTCATCTCCTTCTTCTCCATTCTCTCCTTTTGATATGTTCGTACAGATATGAACAATCTTATAACTGGCGCTATTGTCGACTGTGGTCTCACCAACAAAATTTAACAAATTATCGTTAACCGAATTAATTACACTTTGAAGAAGATTTTGCTGAGAAACATTGAGAGCATAAAATAAGGTAAACTGAGGAATTCCACCCATTTATTATATAATTTCCAAACATGTCCTTGAGTAAGATTATGGAAAAACTTAATCCTGCATGCATTGATCTCTTCCCAAGACCATACTGGCATATACCGGGTAGTTGTTCCAAGCTTGTCAAAGCTACTATAATGACGTTTCTGGGGTGACCAAATGAGAATTGTCTTGACAACATATTCCTTCGGTTTCCTATCATCCACTATATATCAAACTTCTTCATTTGCCAAGTAATCTTTGAATGCATGAATATTGTCTTTGATATGATTGAAAGCACCTTTCTCACTGAAAAGGATCAGAGACTTGTCAAGTCTGTAATATACAACTGTTTTATATTGTTATGAAAGGAGATAAAGTAGATAATAACCAAAGAAGGTTTTCCCTATTCCTGGAGTACCAGTAATATGCCAACGACAGATATTTTCATTCTCAAAAATAATATTACTCAGGTGGTGATAACATTCACAGATGAACAGAGTGGATATATCGGAACCTTGCTCATCTTTGCCTAGAAGATAGTAAACATCCCCAGATAATTCAAGGAACTGGCCACCATCATGCTCCTCAACTTTCCCACACTTCAAAGCATTCCAAAACCTTAGCAGTTTTTCATCATCATCATTATCATATTTTTCTTCGTTTACTAGGGGATTCTACTGTATATATCAGAAAATTATTAGCATAACGAGAACGAAACAACGGCTATTGAAAATCAAGCCAAGACACATTCATTCCATCAAACAAATTTATTATGACTCACTTACCCTCTACGATAATGCGAATGTGTTTTTGGGGTGGATTTAACGATAAGGAGCAGGAAAGAAAAGCACAAGTAAGTATTCGATATTATTGGTAAATATGACATAATTAAAAGAGAACATACCAGGCTTTAAGAGTTCTTTGAAATAAGCAACTATCTCTCCATTATCCTCACATGTAGGAA